ACACTCCACTACACTCCACTACACTCCACTACACTCCACTACACTCCACTACACTCCACTACACTCCACTACACTCCACTACACTCCACTACACCCCACTACACTCCACTACACTCCACTACACTCCACTACACTCCACTACACTCCACTACACTCCGCTCCACTCCGCTACACTCCACTACACTGTATCACACTCCGCTACACTCCGCTACACTCCGCTACACTCCGCTACACTCCGCTACACTCCGCTACACTCCGCTACACTAAATCACACTACAATACACTACACTACACTACCTTCCACTACACTTCACTACACTAGACTCCACTACACTAAATCACACTACAATACACTACATTACGCTACACTACACTCCACTACACTACATTACACTACACTACACTACCTTCCACTACACTTCACTACATTACACTACACTACATTACACTACACTACACTACCTTCCACTACACTTCACTACATTACACTACACTACACTCCACCACACTACAACTACAACTACGAATACACAACTACAGTACACTCCACTACACTCCACTACACTCAATTTCACTACACTACACTACATTACACTACACTACACTACATTCCACTACACTCCACTACACTACATTACACTACACTACATTACACTGAATGACACTGCACCACAGATAGCCAGGTCGAAAGATAGACAGATAGATAGATGGATAGATAGAAAGATGGATGGATAGACAGGTAGACAGCTAGACAGATAGACAGATAGACAGATGAAAGAGAGAGAGAGAGAGATAGATCGATGGATAGATTAGACAGATAGATTAGATTAGATTAGATTAGATTAGATAGATAGGATTAGATAAGATTAGATAAGATTAGATAAGATTAGATAAGATTAGATAAGATTAGATAAGATTAGATAGATAGATAGATAGATACATAGATACAGAGAGAGAGAGAGATAGAAAGAAAGAAAGAAAGAAAGAAAGAAAGATAGATAGATAGATAGGTAGGTAGATAGATAGATAGGTGGATAGATGGATAGGTGGATAGATGGATAGATGGATAGATGGATAGATGGATAGTTGGATAGATGGATAGATCGATAGATGGATAGATGGATAGATGGATAGATGGATAGATGGATAGATGGATAGATGGATAGATGGATAGATGGATGAGATAGATAGATAGATAGATAGATAGATAGATAGATAGATAGATAGATAGATAGATAGATAGATAGATAGATAGATAGATAGATAGATAGATAGATGGATGAGATGGATGAGATGGATGAGATGGATGAGATGGATGAGATAGATAGATAGATAGATAGATAGATAGATAGATAGATAGATAGATAGATAGATAGATAGATAGAAAGATAGATAGATAGATAGACAGATAGATAGATAGATAGATAGACAGACAGACAGATAGATAGATAGATAGATAGACAGGTAGATAGATAGATGAAAGAGAGAGAGAGAGATAGATCGATAGACAGATAGATACATAGAAGATAGGTTGGTAGGTGGGTAGATAGTCAGAGAAAGAGAGAGAAAGAGAGGAGACCTCAAGCACCATTCGGTCCATCAGTGGATTCGCTCTGCCATCCCTGATTCACAACAACCAATCTCTCCTATAGGTTTCCTATTTTTGAAACTTCCGCCACCGCCTTGTGCGGTACTACTGGTATACGTAAAGAAAAGACACTGAACTATTCCATGCTTCGGGAAAGAAGGAAAATAAGATCCTTATTTCCACTCATATAAGGAGAAAAAGATGTCTTTGCAGTACCCGATGATTCAGGGAATAGAAGAAGGGAAATAGGATGCGTATTCCGCACATGGAATTTTACAGAACAGCACATATTATGTCTACTACTGGATGCTTCAGGAAATAAAAGAAGGGAAATAAGATGCTTATTTCCACTAATACAAGTAAAGGAAAACACATATGATTTCAACTACTCGATGCTGCCGAAAATGAAAGAAGGGACATAAGATCCTGGTTTCCCTGAAGAAAAACACATATGATTTGACATATTCGATGCTCTGGAAAATTTTAAAAAAACGATTTTTCGAAATTCAATATTATGAAGCATTTCCACTTTTCGACTTTTCGAAACTCTTTTTGCGTACTTTCCGACTCATGCAGCGTATTTTTCGAACCCAGCACCTTCCCCTGCATTCCACATGTTGCTATCCAGAGGATCTATGTTAATGCAATTTTCAGTATGTTCCTAGTTTTGGATGCTCGCAACCTCCTAGAAGGACCATTAACATATACCCCAGGCCTGGCCCAAGGTGATTCGCAATTTTGTTGATATTGGCCCACAGGGTGTTCATCAAAAGTCAAGAGTGTATTTTACATATACATGTACGCACACACCTACATAACATAAGCAACAAGAATCATTGTCACACTCCACAACAACCAATTTTTTCAAACGAGACAGTCTAGAGCTGTCTGAAGTCTGCACAGAGGTGTACACAGGATCTCCCAAACCTTAAGCTGCGTGGACACTGCGTGCAGGTAACTGTGACCATACAGCAGCTGGAAAATCAAGAATGGTGCTCCCGCGCATTGTTTTCAAGCTGGAGATGTAGATTTCAGATTGTGCTCGTCGAAGCAGTTTTGGTCGTTAGTGACAAACAACGAGCCGCAAAAAGATGCAGCAAGTACCCTAATTTGCTGCCCAAGTGATGGAGATATTGTGACAAGCTCATGAGGAAAACACGACATATGACCTTTGAGCTTTGAACCAAGCACCACTTGCGCTACTCGTGACAGGATTTTGCGGCGCTTGAACAATCAGGCGGCATACCCAGACAAGAGATTCACTCCTTCAGTGGATTCTGGACTGAGTTTCGCTTTAAGTTTGACATTTTGTCAGGACGAGGGGCATCAGGCGCGCCATTCCATGCACATTCCACGTGATTGCGTGCCGCTTCAGTGGGTTACAGCTGCAGACATGCCACCACAGACCTCTTCCCTGAACCAATTCCAGGCTCAGCCAGGCACAGGAGTGGGAGGAGTGTGAAATGCAGAGTCTTCCGAAGTTTTTCTGTCTTCGCCTTTCTTTGTGTTTCTTCACCTTGCTGTGCCTCTGCCTTCTTGGGAGGACACGTTCCGCAAGCACCCAGCGCATCTCCTGTGGCTTGGCAGATGTGAGCATCATCTTTCGGGTGTTCAATCCAATGTGTACTTTCATTTATAATAATTTATATAAAGTTTATAAACCCATGTTATTATTCCAGTTTGTGTGAGGTTTCATGGTCCGATCTGGCTTTGTTGTCGGCTAATCCAAACGATGTTGGTTCTCGAGCAGCTTGCGCAGGTTTTGCGTCCTGCTTGCGGAGGTACCCAAGGCGAAATCTAACAGGGCAAGCCATCCGAGAGCAAGAAAGGTATATGGCTTTCAGCTGGCTTTCAAGATTTTCAAGCATTTTCAAGCTGCATAAAGAATCAAGTTTCCTTTTAGATGGAGTGAACTTGCAAGCAGGATGAAAAAAAGCAACTACAGCAACACATTGTGAAAACCCTTGCGCATGAAGCGAACAAATAGTAAGCAATTGCGCCTTAAAACAGGCTGTGCCAGCGCAATGTTTGGAAACAATGTCCAAGGCAGTTTGAAGACTACAAATTCAGCGAGAGTGACAGCGTGCTGGTCTTGGCTTTTTCAGGGATGGATTGGGTGTGAATGACGTGCCTGCCACACGTTCTTTTCGATAGACAGATTGACAGATAAATAAATATGCAAATAGATAGAGAATAGACATAGATGAACGGATAAATAGATAGATAAATAAAGCAATGCAATAAGATACGATAAGATTGGATTAGACGGGATCAGATTTGACTAGGCCAAGCTAGACTAGACCAAGTAGATAGATCATGTTTGGTGCAGCATTAATGCCAAGTTCGTACTAATAAACCCATCCCCCCAAGAAGGTAAAAGTCACCCCCAATAAAAACAATAAAGGCAGAGTGATATTAGAAAGTGGTAAAACCCCAAAACACAAAGCTGCAGGCACCACTCTTTCCTTCAGCCCAAATAGTAGTCACGTGAGGAGGTAAACCCTGCCCCTTGGCCGGATTAAAACTGCACCCCCCTCCTGCGAATGTGACACTTATTTCCTGCGAGCTACGGTGGATGCTGGCCATTCATCCGATTTCACAAGGCGGTTTTGCACAAGGCTCCTTTCATGATTCTGTGCAGCAAGGCTTGCGCGCTTTGAGTTTGATCCTATATCTCTGGGTGCACGGATCGCTGCTCAAGCATTCACAAGAATGACAGTGCTAACTTCCAGTGAGAGCTGATCTCATATTTCACCCTAATTTAGGAACAGGCACACAGGACACCTGCAGGGCGCGGGCTTAACCACAGCACTCTGCAGGGGCATCGCGGATGTGAACCTACTGCAACTTCTGATCCTTACTAAGGACTGGCCAAAATGGCGTTCCAACACAAGAACTGATCCAGGATGGCTATTTTTTCCGGTTGAAGTCTATTCCTTTGGAAGTTTGGGATCGAAAATTCGGATCATATCCAATGTATGCTGCAACTTCTGCACATCCAGACACTTAGTGAAGATGTCAGCAGCTTGCTGCTCTGTAGGGCATTGCTGGATCATGATGCCAGGTTCCTGAAACGCATCATATAAACCTTGAACATTGATCTTATGAGCTTTGCCCAAGTGGCGTAATCGTGCAGAGTATCCATTGCGGATCACCTGTATCGTGGCAGTGTTGTCTTGATGGCAAATGATTGGAACTTGTTCGCCAAACAAATCGGCTAGGAATTCTTGTGCTGATATCGCATCACCAAAAAGGGCAGTCGCCAAAGCAATTGCCTCAGCCCCTGTTGTTGAACGACTGGCTGCTGTCTGACGCTTCGGTTGAAAAGCTATTGGAAAATAGGAACCAACCTGCTGCTACCACTAGCAAAGAGTCTTTGATGCATGGTTTGCATCTGTGAACAACCACAACTGCCAAGGATCTTCGGGGTTAAGCTTTGATCTCATCTGATAGTGCTTGGTACTATTGAGATAGCTAAACACCTTAAACAATCGTCGGTCATCATTTACCCTCCATTGGGTCATTTTCTCATTGAGTTCGTTGAGAGCATGGACTCATGGAGCAAATCTGGCTTACTCAATCTGGCAAGCCAGTATGCTTTCATCATCAACTTTGCGGCAGAGTTCCAGAGCTTACCCTGGCTTACCCTTGCTGTTCCAATCCTCCAAAGGCAACGCACTTTCATCTAGGTAAGGAGTATGTGCTTTCTTGAACCCTCTGAAGCTTCCGCGCTCTTCTTCATTCCAAACTCATGCATGTCATACTGAAGCTCTCCTTTGTGGACATCTTGGGTTCCTCAAACAGGAGATGATTTGACAGCATGTCCCAGAATTTCTGGTGATTGGCACTAGGCTCTGACACCACTATGTCATCGACATAGAGTGTAACCAGCAATCCCAGCTCTTTGATGGTGAAATTGGAAGGGCACAATGGGGATTCGACTGCGTTCAATTCAGACATGACTGATTTGAATTTTCGGCCCCAATGGCCTCCACCTTCTGGGTGGCCGTATAACGATTTGTGCAGCTTCGTGCATGGCCTATATATATCCCCCTGAGGTGACCAGGAATCAACCCATCTGGAAGTTCTATGCAGGTTCCAAATCGCCGTGGTGTAGGCCGTGATCACCTCTGATTGAGTTGTCTTATTCCCTTTTCTGGGTCGAAAAGCAAGATTAATGTTTAATCCTGTAATCGTTGTGGGGATGATTTATATCTCTTGGAATTCATTGGCAAGACCAAATTCATCTTTCACATTGTTTGCAAGAAAGACTTTCCTTGCCTTTAGCTTTTTGTTTGCAGCGGACTCAGCATTCTTCCAACGCATGATGGTCATCAACTTCCCAATAGCAATTTTGGCCTCATATCTCCTAGCTTTCGCTTCAAGTACATGCCTAGGAACTACATTCTTGTAATCCCACGTTCCTGCATCTTCAATCTTCCTTCTTGGCCTCAGCTAATGCATTCGGGTCTTGCTTCCACACCTTTTTGTCAATAAGCTCGTGAATGCCGAGAGGAATCTGCTCAAAGCCTGTTTCCTTGGGAATATGTTCAGGATCTTGAACAGCAGGTTCGCAGCACATGCTTGGAACAGCTTTGTGAAAGAGGGAACAATGTTGCAATAATGCATTTGCACATCTTCGAAGGATAAAATGCTGATTTGGGAGTCTTGGGCCCTTTCAGCTGAACGTGGGTGTGATTATGATCACACGTCTTGGTCCGCAAGCACCGGGTGAGGCTGTCATCTGTTGAGGCAACGGTCCATGGTTTGAAGGATTCTCCTCCTACCATGCATCCATTGAAATGCGCAAGTTTGAAGCGGTTTGCATTCAAGAAATCCTGAAGCTCTGGAATTTTCCACCCCGAATAGCCAGTCAAGCACTTCAAGAAGCTGTTCTTGCACATCAAACCTTGCAATATCTCCATTGGCTTTGGTTAGACGGACATGTTAAACCCCTACGGGTTCCGATACTTTCCCAAGATTGGATTGGGGACTGCAACAGTACCAAACTCTACAAATACACCATACGCAGGCTTTGACTTCTGGACCATTTGTTTGAGCTTTTTCCTTTCCTGTGTGGGGCGCGGCTTCGGCTTGGCCTGCTGCTCTCCACTCAGGGCATCAATGTTCCTCCACCAAGGACCTCATCCGCTTCAGGCAGAAGGTCAAACACCGTTTGACCAGTCCAAAATTCTTTGAGGGTCTTGGAGTTACTCTTCCAGTTTTCATCTACTAAAGTATCTTCAATCCCACTGTCAACATACTTTACAATGGTCGTCCTTTTTCCAAGCCTTTTGGATTTGACAGGAAGATCTTCAGGCAACAAGGGATTAAACAGCTTTTTGCGCTTGATGTGATGAAAGCGAGTGAGCTTATTTTCTTCAAGCTTCCACGAATCAACGCCTTTGGCAACGCCCTTGGGAAGTGTAAACTTGCACCCCCTGATTAGCTTGCCAAATCCCTCTCTGCAGCTCACAGTGTGATTGCCTATGCCTTTTTTCACATGCCCCACAGCCTGGACTATGGCCATACTGAAGCAATCGTGAAAAGGTAATAGTTTCATGCTGTGAAGAGATCTCTAGAGCATTGGGAGGCTCTTCGAAAGGAATGATGTCACCACGGGAGTGATCTTTGGGTAGCAAAGGGCCTTCAATCCCTAATTCTCCTTCCAATGCAGCTACATCGTCTTCTAAGCGAAGCACAGGCAAACTTTCCAATTTCTCGAGTTGAGTTCTCACAGCCTCCCTCAAAGGAAATTTGTCATCACCAGTCTGCACTACCGTCATTGATGCCAACACTTGGAAAGTGGACTTCCCTTCTAACCACGACTTGAAATTGTCAATATCACAAACATAATAAGTGCGCTTCCAGTTGATTCCTGAGGCGTCCATCCAAGAAACAAAGCCGCTGATGTTTTGGCACCAAGTTTGGTTTTGGCAACGGCTGGCTTGTACTGGATAAGTGCACCGAAAGGAATGTGAAGCCCTCAAATTCATGGTTATGGGGTCTCCCCCATTTCTGGGTTGACGGTGCTGTAGCAGCATACTTGATTGCTATAGGCCATTATTCATTGAAGTTCCCGACTTGGGCAAGGCAGCATCTGGCAATATCCTCAAGAGTTCGAATTGCTCTGTTAATGATGGCTGTTTTCCGGTATGGGACTGTCGCATCATAAACAAGTCCTAGCTGGCTAGCTGTACCTTCAAACTCAAGAGTGTTATCCGCATGCAATTTTCACAGCAGGACGCTTTCCAAGAAAGTGCCTGAACGCTTTCACGAATTCATCTGCTCTTTTCGAGGGTGCCGGATAGGCCATGAGTATCCTGGTGTAATCATCATACAAAACCAAGCACTTTGTTTCTCCTCTTAAACCCTTTTTGGAAACATCTAAACGGCCTTTGGCAACGACAATGTGATCTGCATGGATTCTGTCCCCAATACGCTCATTTGGTTCATCATTGGTCAAGACCCTTGGCCCTTTAACCTTCTTAGCCGGCAAAGCATCTTGTTTGGCCTCTTGGCATACGGGACAGCCCGCCCGCTTGGGAAGATGCAAAATAGAAGGGTTTGCATGACACCCTGAACGTCTTCTTCGGGAACATCTTCAGGGGGGTTCATATACCCTCAGGGGCGAGACTTGGCTCGTATCCGTCGGATTCTTCACGGGACACTTTTCCATCATCAATTTTGGCAACTTCACCGGGCATATGCAATATGTCAACCCGGTCTTTGAACAATGGGAAGTTTTCTCGAATTTCACTGGCATACCAGCGCGCATGCCCTGGACACGACACACTTAACTTGGAACATCGCTAGGTTTCACCAAGAAAGGTTTAGGAAGCGCAGTGTTTTCGGCAATGTCTTCGCTGCTGGACGGCAGCCAAATGAATGCTTTACCCTGACGAACTTGATCGCCAATGGACAATGCCCAAGGGCTATCTTTCAACAAGTAACATTCATTTGAACCAGTGAGTTCGCCAACAACTTGACAAGAATCAGATCCAGCTCTTGATCCACCACCAGTTGCAAAAGTAACACGGTTGTTTGACAAACCGATGACATCAGGGTTAATTCCCTTTGATTCCACCGATATTGCGGCGCATGCCGGTGTCTCCCAGCCAAGTCACTTCACCTGTCGTTGCATTGAAGCTTGTGAATGGCACCTCCTCAGATTGCATTGGCAACACTTGGACTTGGACATGATTGTCACGGGAATTTCGCCCCAAAAACGGAGCCCCATTCACAGTACCATGTAACACGGCAGTGCAAATGACGAAACAACAGCTTTAAAAATCCTTGGGGTTAAAGCTTTAGATGATGGCAGGTTTCCTGCAGCAACGGCAAATGCAGCAGCGACACTGGAGCCAGCTTTAGGCTTTGCCTTCGGCTTGGTTTTTGCAGCTGGGTCATGCACAAATGGACATGGATCCCTGCGACAAGTGCCGCTTGGATAAAAGAGACACGGAGTGCCTCTTTCACCTGCTACAACCTCTTTCTTATCCTTCCCACCTCCCTTCCAATCAGCTTTGCTTTGAGTAGATTCGGCGTTGGGATTCGACTTTGCCTTGGGCTGCGTCTTTGAAGAGGATGCCACAGCAACATCAACTTTGTCTCTCTGATCTTTGGTGGTTTCTGCTTTCTCTTTCTTCTTGTCTGTCTTTTTGTCTTTCTTTTCCATAGATGCGGATGCGGCATCAACCTTTGAGCGAAGAGCATTCAGGATAGATGCGGTGTTGTGGTCATGCTGAGATTCGTCAATGCAATCGATCATGGATTGCCACAACCACTGGAAAGACCGAATGCTGTCTCCAACCGATGCTGGTTTGAATTTGTCCATTTTCAATGCAAGCTTTGGGACGTTTTTGAGACACTCATACAACCAAGATCTAAGGATTGCTTCGTTAGGATACTCTGAAGTCCCAAGGCCCGAAAGCACGAACTCCACCCGATCCCGAAACACTTCCAAATCCTTGCTCTCAACACCCTGAGGCTTCAAGGCCAAGCATGCTGACTGGCTGAGGCTCATTCCGCGCTTTTTGTCAAGACGAAACTTTTTACAGGTTCTTCCCGACAAAACATGCTCTTGCACCTGCATACCTTGACGAACACTGCGTTCCTGCAATGCTTGGGAATCGGCTCCAAATCTACCTCCCTTTACGGCTTCAAGCAGCTTGGAACCGAGGACTCGGTTGAGCACTGGAAATTTATCCGATGAAAGCTCTACACCCCCCAAAGGACTATTCAACCAGCTCAGCAATTCCTTTTCGCTACCCTTACAACATGCTATGATTTATATCAGAGAATTCTTCGATCCCCTCATGTCTGCAGCACTTTTCGGGAGCTGGGGTATTTTGATTTTATCATAACCCTTCAACCGCATTAATACAGCAAACTCATGATCTGACAGGGACG